AACGAGTAGAGCAGACTCATGTCGTCGGCGTTGTAGAAGGAGACCCTCCTCTCGTCGCAGTCCAAAAAAACCCCGAGCCTCCGCGGGGAAGATCTGACCCGCAGCCTCTCCCACGGCTGCTTTCCCACCGAGTACTCGTTCCCGTTGCGCAGCCGCAAGGTCCAGTAGCCGCTTTCCGGGCTCAGCTTGATCCGAGCGTGCCTGTTGACATTCTCCAAGGCCACTCCCAGGTCCCACTTAGGGCTGGTGCCCACTTCTACCTCCCAGTAGTGTCGACCCGACTGGAAGCCCTGGGCAGCCAGAATGTTGACGCACTGGAGGAAGCGCTTGTTGTGGTTCACGTGGTGGGTCATGACGTTAGATTCGACCGCCACGGTTTTGTCTCTCGAGACTTGAATGCTCGGGTGTGCTGTGTCGACGTCAAACGTCAACAGGGAGGGACCTATGGGGTGAAACAATCCATTGGGAGATAAAATGACAGATTTTTAACGCAAAAAACAACCCTTTCACAGCATGATAATGGTGCCACTGCTGTTTCCACCTCAATAGCTTATCATAACACTCCACTCATTTTCCCTTAATTACTCCCATTATTGACTCAGAACCAGTTTTCAGCTCCAGTCATTTTGTGTCTAATGAAGCATCGGGGGGAAATTACCTGGTTTCAAAGATTTGAACAGCCTCCTCCATGTGATGTATTGTAAGGGAGCCAGGTATTTGTTACTGAAAGCATTTATATCAAACTCCGGGGCGATATCCACCTGCGCACATGGTCTGTGCAAACAAAAAGAACAGAGTTTGGATCATTTGCTCTCAGCGTAAATTACTATAAATGTCACATGAGCACGATGTGCGCAAAAACTGTCACGAGCAATTAATCGGTCACAACACCGAAATGAACGCTTACCTTAGCGCTGGGAGCTAATGAGAAGAAAAGAAAAAAAAAGTCACGTTAACAGCTTGTTTGAAACGGGTTCGTGAAAAAACATTAATTCCCAATTAGATGATTTTATAATATCAGACAATAATATAAATAGGGTGACATCATTTTCAATTCCCACCTCAGCCAGTACGATGTCCTGGGTGGCAGTGCTGGCCTCCTGCAGCGCTTTTATATTGTCCTCCAGCTCCTTCGCTGCCTGCTCCGTGACCTCCAGGTGGTGCTGGACTTTCACCAGCTCCTCCTCCTGCTCCCTCCTCAGCTGCTCCAGCGTACAGACTTCCTCATCGTGCAGGATCTGATGGAGAGCTTGGAACTCACTTTTGACACGCGCCTGGAGATCTGCCGCGACACTCTGCGAGGGAGAGGGATGATTAACGTTATAAGAGCGGGACTCTCCGTGTCGTGCCACGCGTTTACCGAACACGTGGCTTGCTTGCTTAAAGCTCTAAAAATCTTGCAGAACAACACACATCTCCAGAGATACAAACAGATGGCAATGAAGTCACAATTAGCATAAAAGCTCCATGTGTCTGACAAGTATTGCATAATGAAGGAAACGATTTCCTTTTCATCATCTCAGCCCAGCGCGTGCGGCTAAAATTTAAGCTCTTATCCCACATCTGTCTGCCTCACTTTGTCATTTTGTTTCCGTCGCTCCTGCTTTTGCACAGTTTGTCATGTTCTGCGCCACTAAATATGCACATTAACATGCTGTAAACAGCCATTAGAGACGGCCGTGCTTGTTCTTATTTCTTAAGTGCTGCCATTCCTTTGGATTCCCACATGAGCGTACCTTTATAACATTCATCTTTTCTTTGTCTCTGTGAATGCTGTTGATGAAGTCCTGCTTCCTCAGGCGGTGGCTCTCCAAAGTCTCCTTCAGTTGTTTCTGCAAAGTGGTATGCAAATCTAATCAGCGGGGGGGAAAGGAACACTAAAGCAAAGAGACTACGCAGAGAATGAAGGAACTCGATAACGGTAAAGGGGGGAATAATTAACGACACGAAGTAAACGCTATTCAAGACACGGGCCCATCTGAGAACTTTGCTTTTGTGCTGTTGTTGAGCTGATCCGCATCACATTCAGAGGTTTTTCTTATATTCTGCATGTATTGAGGAGGAAACATCATAATACATAACAATCTAATGGAATCTAGTACAACTACAGCACAAAACACAGCCTAGGAAGAACAAAACATTTTAAAAGGTCCCATATTATGGAAAAACATTTTGATTGTGTTTTATTATGTTCTTAATCCACTTGCATATGTAACATAAAAGCTGCGAAAATACACCTGTCTAAAGTTTGGACTAGTGATGTCATCAGAAAAAAAACAAAAACAAAACCTTACACAAAAAACCCCAATAGCAAAATCTGCAATACTACTCATTTTTTGCAGAGTATGTAACAACATGGGGATGCATAACTACAAACTACAACACCAAAGACGGCAGCTAGTGCAGTTGCAGTAATAGTGCCAGCCCGACTTGCGAAGAAAAGTAGTAAGAGTCGAGTACGGAAGCACTTGAGGTAGATGACCAAGGGTTGGAACTACATTTTTAAAAGATGATATGCAAACAATCTTGACTTTCACACCAAGTGTGGAAATGCTTCAGAGAAGAGGCCAAAAGATAGACATCTACATATGCTTACATTCTGTTGTGAAATCAACTGTGTCTAAAGTCAAATGCTTGAGCTTGTGACATTAGCAGGATACTTAGCAACCATGCTAACACTTCTGGTAACCAAATATATTGGTAACATTTTCGTGTCACTCTGAAATGACACGGACTCAAAGGATTAGGGTAACGTCTGTGTTTTTCTTTTTCTTTTTTTAATTTGAATTGAATTGAGTTTTAAGCATCAGGTAATTATGCTGGTAGACTTCCAGGAAAGCTAAAGAATGTACTGCCGAGGATGAAGAAAGTAGCAACATACACTGAAGCCAAAATGTCCTTTTTTGTTAAGTATAAGCTACATTATAAATTTTTTGACTGCTCTGCTTCAGACTGAACTGACAAAAACAGGTATTTTTACTGCAAACATATGACTGTGCCATCTTAATTAGAGCCAACCCAATATAGGTTTTTAAGACAAATACTGATATTTTGTGATTTAAAAATCAGATATATCAGCTGTTATAAATGCTGATAGTCATCAATCAGCAAATAGCTGACATTGGCTAATAATAGTGATAAAGCTTAGATTAAGCTGAAGTTCAAACTAATATTATTAAGGAAAAAAACTGGCTTAAATGTTTATAGCCTGAAATACATGTTAAGGTATGTAAAGTCAGAACTATAAAGGGTGTGGGCCCCATTACCTAATTGGAATCACTGAGCAGGAGTTCTCAACCATGTTTGTGTTGTTGGTCATGATCCATTTTTTTTTTATTATTTTAATGCAGTTATCTTACCAATATTATGGGTTATTATGCTGTTAGCTGGTGTAACAGCTCAAGGAGGCCTGCGCTCCATTTGCACGCATCCATGCGCACGCAATGAACCTACGCAACCGACACAGGCACACAGCCGATAATTTAGTAATCAAGTAGTTTGTTCACATGTGGTGTCTTTTGGCCTAAAAAATAACAGAATAAAGAATAAATACATTCTAAAATTCAGGTGACTTTACAAACCAATGGCTGATGCTGCCATGGTCTGTGGTTTGTTACTTTAGCTTTTTATGTTTTGTATGGTTTCCAAAAAACAAAAGCAAAAAAAAAAAAAAGCAAAAAAAAGACAAGTTGACAAGTTAATTTGTCAATTGGGAATCCTTAGAAGTACCTGTACTTTTTATGTTAAGTGAAAGTAACCAGCTGAGGCCTCGAGCCTTACATTTGCTCGACAGATCAATTTCTTATCTGTTCTCTTAGGAAAAGTGGAAAAGGATTTTTTGTCTTTGCTAAAACCAGCAAAACAAACAAAAAACCCTACAAGTGTTTTTATTATTCTGTCAGTGTATATTAATACCTCTGCTGTGCGTAAGTTGCATAACCTGTTATACAAAGTATCATGAGGGTGAGTGAAGAGTGAACTTTGGTCTGAGCAATTCAAATAAGGTAGGCTGAGGGCGGAACAACAATAAAACAAACGTGGACGTGGACTGAAACATGAATTATATCTGTATTGAACCCAGATGTTACTTGCTGGTCAATTGCTATTGATCGGTCTACTTAAGAGCACAAGGTTATTTGTATAACATTGCAGAAGACTTTATTTCTTGCTGACCCAAAGAAACTGTCTGGAAAACCGCCAGCACGACAGTTAAACATGAAGTGAGACTGAAATACAAACCTCTAGGTTCTTGGTGTAAGCATCCGAGGTAGTGACACGGACCTTCTCCACCATGGCTGCCACAAGGTAGTTAGTTTGAAACTGCTTGGAGCTGAACTCCTTGCGGCATTGTGGGCAGGTGACAGGCCCCTGCGTTCCTCTCCAGTACCTGGATATGCAAGATTTGCAGAAATGGTGCATACAGGCCAACATGACAGGCTCTCGGAACAGATCACAGCATATGGCACATGTCAGGTCCTCTCTCAGACTGCCTCTGGTGGACTGAACAGCAGCAGCAGCAGCAGCAGCCATGATGAAGGGTGCTGTCCTCTTTGAGATCCCTTCACAGGAAGTGAAAGCAAAAAGTCTGAAGGCAAACAGAAAAGATCACCAATCCACTTCTGCAAATACTTTACAAGGAGATAGCTTCGATTTTTCTGTCAGCTGCCAACAAATGAAAGGAAAAACAAATAGTTCACCTTCAAACACAACAGAGTGTGCAGCTACAGTCTGAAGTCCATCACTGATAACAAAGCAGTGCAAACAGCTTAATACTAGCACTAAGCACCTACTTGATGGTGCTCAGCAGTAGAAATCAGGTGCTATATCACGGGGCTTGCGAGCTAGCTTGTGATTTGTATTGTGAAGGCAGTGTTTACTCAGGTGGCGTGTTTGCTCTTAACTGCCCGGAGCCTGTTAGCGTTTAGCTACGTGTAGCAGCCTCGACAAAACAATAAGAAACAAAAGACATTTCGGAACTTCAATAAAGTGACTATAATCGTCACATAATGAATACTTTGGTGAACTTACGTGGTCTGTTGTTCGGAGAAATTCAAAACCGAATACGTCAAAGTTCGCCCCTCTGCTCTCTACTCCCTGCTGCTGCTACTGTTTGGGAACAAATAGTCTTATATTCTGCGCATGCGCGCGCCACAAGCCCGAGTTTGATTAGTCAGTGTGTTTGACGGTGAACAGCAGATGGCAACGAGTTTTGTCAGCAATTTTCGATATAAACTAACTGGTCATTTTATTAGGTACACACGTTCAACTGCTCATTAATACAAATATCTAATCAGCCAATCACGTGGTAGCAATTCAGTGCATTTATAGGCATACAGACAAGGTCAAGGCGACCTGCTGAAGTTCAAAGTAAGCATCAGAATGGGGAAGAAAGGGGATTTCATTGAGAAATGGGTATTGGTGCCAGACAGATCTGCTGATTGACTGGGAATTTCCTACAAAACCATGTCTAGGGTTTACAGAAAATGGTCTGAAAAACTGAAAATATACAGTGAGCTGCAGTTTTCTGGGCTTTGTCGATACTAAAGGTCGGAGAAGAATAACCACACTGCATAAAGCTGATAGGAAAGTAATATTAACTATTAATAATGACCACTTAACAGGTAATTCAGGCTAGAATTCACACAGACGCCCCAGAAATGGGCAATAAAAGATCAGAAAGATTCTGATGAGTCTTGATTTTGCTGGTACATTAAACAAGTATGGTCAGAATATGGAAAACAACATAAAAGCATGGCTCCATCCTTGCTTGTATCAAATGTTCAGGGTACTGTTGGTGATATTTTCTTGACACACATTGGGCCCTTTAAGTACCAGATCATGATTTAAACACCACAGCCTGCTTGAGTGTTGTTAATAACCATATCCATCATTTTATGATCACAGTGTACCCATCTTCTGAAAGCCGTTTCCAGTGAAACTCTCAAATTAGCTCAAAGTGGTTTCTTGAATGGGTTCTCTCTGTATTCAAATGGCTTCCACATTCAGCAGATCTCAGTCCGACAGCTCACCTTTGGGTTGGGGTGGAAAGAGAGATTCGCGTCATGGATGTGTACCAGACAAATCTGCAGCAATTGGGATGCTATCATGTCAATATTGACCAAATCTCAGAGGAATGTCTCCAGCACCTTTGCCAGTCAACCAATATTTATTTTCAATCTACCTTTTTCACTTCCTCCAATGTCTGTTGCAAAAGCAGGGAAGGACTAAGACTAAGAATACTGGGTCTAATATTGATTCTTAAAAGACAGCCACAGTTGCATCTTTTTACTTTTACTTTAAAAAATAGATTAAAGTGTGTTATTTCTAGGTCATTTGCACAGATATATCTGTCCATTCATCCTCCATCAGATATAATTCTGATGGAACAAATCCCTTATAAATGACTATTAAATCTCCATGAATAGTTGTAAAGGAAACATCTAATAAAATGGGATTGGACTCTAGTCTCATGTAGGTCAGGCCCCCATAACAGTTTTGCCCACGTTTCACCCTAGTGGGAGTTGTGCCTTAAGAGGGTCCTCTTAAGAGACAACTCCCACTAGGGCTTAAACACCTGGGACTCGCCATCACTTGGTGTTAGAACTGAAAAAGCTTCTCGGATGAGAGGTGAAACGTCTTCAAGAAAGTTATAGAAGTCCGGTCGCTTTTCTTTCCAAGCTCCTTAGATTTAGAGTTATTTGTTCAGATTTCTGAAAGGTTCCTCCGGAGCCACAAAAGACGTTATACAACAGATTACACATTACTTGCTGCGATAAGTGAACTGAACTCAGTGTGTAAAATGAGTGGATGGTTTGTGGAATTATAATGAAATTTGCTTGATATCCACTATTTCAAAAATCTACAGTCTGTCTCAAGTTGCTAAAAACCTCCAAACTCTCTGAAACATTACCAAGGATACGACCTCAGTGTCATTAATGGTAGCTCCAGGCGTGCTTGCAAGGAATGTGGCTATTAAATTTCAGTTTAATAGGGGCAATACAGGACCACTTCTGCCTTCTTGGACATGGTGACCAAGTCCTTTATAAAAGAAAAGTTCACCAGAAGGAACGACTGGAACATCCCACAGAAATGTTTCTCTGAGGAATCCAATCTGCAAGCTTCAAAGGGAAACAATCCTTTAAAATCAATATCTAAAATCAAATGACTAAAGGGTCTAATCTGCATTGTACGGCTACCATCTGTCAAGTGTGTATCCCCGGTAGGAAATAACAAAAGGAAAAGGGGGGAAAAAAAGCACAAAAGGGATTTCTTAGCTTGGGTTAATTAGAGAGAAAGACAGACAGACAAACAAGTTGCGAGGACACCCACAGTTTGTGAGCAAGAGACAAGAAGTGAATCTCAACCACTCTCAGTCCCAAATAGCTCACTAACCACTTTTATGAAGATTAATTTGAGCCCTTCCAGGTGAATCAATGACACAGCAGCCTGAGAAAACTCTCAACACAGGCTGAGTGACCCAGGCATGGGGAGGCTGGCGGATAGCTCTTTTAATTGGAAGCAAAAGAAGTGGAAGAGAGAAAGAGAAAGAGCCAATCAAGTATAATCTCCGGTGCTGAGATAATCGGTGCATCAAATTATTCTGCCACAAACTAAAACCAAAGAGGTTCAAGGATCCTATTAAGATTCTGATCAGGTGAATTCCTTTCAAACAATCGTGTAGGTTGAAAGTACAGTAAAAAAAAAAAAAAAAATTCAGGACATTTTTAAAGTCTTTTAATACTATTTATTTCAAGGGACCTTATGATCTTTGTTGCTTTTTGCGTTTCACTTTGCTTTTGAAGTTCCTCAAAAACTGCCCAAATCAAAAAGTAATTTTTGTCCCAGATGATTATTTACTGTCGTCTTGTTACAGAGGGAATTGCAGGCACAATAAAGTCATCATCCCCCCCGCGCCCCTCCCAATAGAAAATAATCCAGGTAAATGACACACTCTGAATACTAAAATATTGACTGATCTCCCACGACACCCCACAGGGTCAAAGGGACTACAGTTTAGTGACTTTCTGTGCCATCAGCATGAACTATAATCTATTTTAGGTATCGTGGGAGCTCACAGGGGAAAAAAGCCCACGAGAGGCTCGTTGTTGTCTTGTATTGTTTTCTGGGCTAATCAACTCAATATGATAGTTAGCTTAACAATGGCTCTCTGCAAAGCAACACGAAAATTGCGTTAAGCTGCACTTTAAATGTTTTTCATTAAAGAAATTAGATCAGTTGAGACAGTGATCCCGAGAATCAAATATACAGCCATTTAAATTATCTGCTTTAAAGCCATGTTTTGTTCCAAAGTTCATCAAATATTGTACACATGAACAAGGGCAAAGCGTCGAGGAGGGGAAAAACGGAATACTTGGCAGGAAATAAATGAAATAATAAATGGAGATGAATTTGGAAAACCCAGTGACGTAGCCTGAGTGTGCTTTGGCACTTTAAACGATGCTTTATGGTTTTTTTATTTGATTTCTTTGCCTGGTGAAAGTAAATAAAATAAATGCTGAACATTACAAAAAAAAAAGTGTGATTTGCAAAGCGCAAACCCTGCGCAGATCTCCAGCCTCTGTCTCTGGCAGGCTGGCACAGATGTGGAGGCTTAGACTGAACCCTGTAAACCTGACAGGAACACACAAAACAGTCGAGCCACAAGATGCGCACCAGGCGCTGCACGCTGGGAGGAGCTTCGAGATTTTTTTCCCACTTGTTTCATGACACTCTCCGGTGAAGACACGTTTGCACAAAGGAGATATAGGGGGACAGGTGAGTCGATTAATGTGTGGATAGACTTAAAATGGATATTGCGAAGCTATAGTTGTGGGACATACATGGACTCCCCCTTTGAGGTGCAAGACATGATTTCTCTGCTCTTTTGTGACAGCGTAACCTGTAGCTGATGGAACTATGAAATGTGCGTAATTTGGATAAAAGAAAACGTGCTGGATGAAAAGAGTCCAGACTGCGTACCTGAGACTCTTTGCGTTGGAGAGAGACGTTTTGCACCTGTCAAGTCGGTTAACTAATCTCTCAGAGCTCAGTTGGAGATGTTTGAATGCGCACTGCTGAGTAAGTTGAACAATTTGGCACAAATTACGCACCGATGCACACTCAATTAGAAATAAATCGCCTCGTTATTATTTGGTAGTAATATGTAGAGTTAGCTTGAATTGAATCCTGTTGTGCTGAGGATGTTTGATCGAGCAGGTGTAATGGCACAATGTTCCTATCATTGAACAAAAAAGGGTAAATAATGGTTTATAAAGTGCATGGCTTAACCTGCCTGGTGCAGCGGTGTGTACCAGGCAGGTTAAGGCAAGGTTTTCATGTTCCTCGGGTTACTGGCACTGCAACACCTGTTGTAGCACCATGATCACATCTTCGGTGATCCCTACATATGGATTTCGAGGCATCTTACAAATCAGTCAACTATAGATTCTTTTGTCCGATGTCCTTGAGTCTCTGTTTTCTCTTCACCGCTGATATTTCAAGGAACCGACACGTATGAATGGTTTCAAATATCAGGGAATTGTACAGGAGCTTGGAGACACGACACATCTGCAATGCAATACCTTTAGTTTAACCGTAACATTATGGGCGAGAACACAATGCTTCCAAATGCCATTGGCTTCACTGTTTTACTGTTTTAGTAAAATCGTGGAAAAAGCGATGATGTCAGTGAAAGATAGTCTTTCTAGTGGTTCTCAGGAAATAGGCTGAATCCCCCGAGAAATCAAGGAGTGTCTGTCACCAAAGAGATGACCTCTCACTAAAGGGTGACCTGGTTTGTCTCAGAAAACTTTAAGCATTAAGTGTTGGCCACAAAAAATTAAATCAAATAAAAATCAATAAAAATTGCAAAGCTTAATCAGGCCCATAAGGGCAGGTCCAGGTTTTATGATTAAGAATCCCTAGGAAATGGATTTCCTCAAAGCATCTTACTGTGGTTAACACAACATAATGCAATTTACATGCATTTGCCTAATAAGGATGAGACTTGGCTTTTATCATTTAAGAGCCAAGCTGCAGCTGTAGTTATACATGTCAATACAACATGCACTGTCTGCACTCAGCAGCGGCTCTTGGCTGTACACAGGGAAACTGCCATAAATGACTAGATGATGAACTACAGAATATTTTTACTTATTTAATGTTAAGCACAAAAACACAATGTTCCCTTTATAAGATTCAGACTATGCATGCAACCTGCCTGCAACTCTAATGATGCAGCTTTGAACTGGCTCACTCTTGATCTCACTGCTTCCTCCATTATGTTTTCTTTATTCTTTCTAATAGTACAGGTTTTCATGTCTCTTAGAAAAAAAATGTTTTTTTGCACAGCCCAGACAAAGATATTCCACAGTAAATAGCTTGTGATATCTGGTTCTATTTTTGCATAGGGCTTTCGAGAAGCTGCTACAAAGCAAGCTGTTCTTCAGTTGATTGTAACTGTCGATCTATTCATTAAAATACATGTTTAATTTTCTTACTTTTTCAGAACATCTACCTCCTCAACACAGTCGTGGACAAGTGTTCTAATAATGAGGCCGTACGAATTAGAGGCATCTCATATCTACTAAATTGCAGCGTTTCATTATCTTTTGGTTAAACACTACATCTCTTTAATATCAGAGTGGCATTTGCAGGTGATGTAAAGGGAACAAAGAAATAACTGTGGAGCCATGTTTTTTTTAAGAAAGTTGGATTTGAGCTCTCTTGCAGTGCAGAGTATGGAAAACACCCTGAAAATAAAAGACATGGTTTGAAGTACAATGCATCACTAATAATGCCACTTGTCTGTCCTAATACACTGACAGGAATGTCTGCAGTTCACTTCTGTGAGTGACAGAAGGTATTACAGCATATAAAAGACACAAAACAAATGGACATAGAAGAGTAACACACCTCGACACTTGATCAAAGAGCTCTAATGTTCAGGTTCCCATAGTTATACTGCCAGTATCCAATTCAATTTGACTTATTTTATTTAGAAAATTCTTAGCATTGTAAGGTAAAGAGTCTACAATAATACAGAAAAACCCCCAGCAACCAGACAACCCCCTCTGAGAAAGCACTTTTTGACAGTGGGAAGGAAAAACTCCCTTATAAGAGGACAATATCTCAGCAGCACCAGACTCAGGGAGCCGTGACCGCTTTGTGGTGAGGGGAGAAAGACAGGACAAAAAACATGCTCTGGAAGAGAGCCAGAGATGAATAATAACTAATATTTCAATACAGAGTGGTGTGTAAACGCCAGTGTGCATGTATCTGGCATGAGAAGTCTGTGAGGGCTTAATTGATGTACATCCTGGAGGTAAGAGTTCAAGAAATGTTGATCAGGCGTGATGAGAAATCTGAGACCTCTGATGGGATATTCTCTTAAACAGTTATTTTCTGTTTTCTCTGCTCAGGTGTAAAGTAAGCCTTGATCTTGCGTCTTCCAAAATGAGCCCACCAGACATATCCAACAGCACGGGAGAAGAGGAGGCTAGAGAAACCGATCCCTTGTTTCTGCTTAATGACAGCATGGGCTTGCACCAGCCTGGATACCACACTGACATCATCAAGCACCTTGGAGTCCAGATCAGCCTGATCACAGCTTACTCGCTTATCATCCTGCTGGGGCTGCTGGGCAACGCTCTCGTCATCTACATGATAGTTCGCTACAGAAACATGCGAACAGTCACCAACTTCTTCATAGCTAACCTGGCCCTGGCAGACCTTCTCGTGAACACCTTCTGTTTGCCCTTCACGCTGGTTTACACTCTTCTAGAAGAGTGGACATTTGGGGCTGTGCTGTGCCACATGGTGCCCTTTGCCCAGGCTCTGAGTGTGCACGTATCCATCCTCACCATGACTGTCATAGCTCTGGAGCGCTATCGCTGCATCGTGTTCCACCTCGGAATGCGGCTCACGTGGCACTCGAGTTTCCTCATCATGGCATTCACCTGGACTGTGTCTGCTGTCCTGGCAGCACCCCTCGCCATCTTCAGAGAGTTCCGCTACGAAGAGATCCCGTCGATCAACCAGCGCTTTCCCGTCTGCACTGAGAAGTGGCCCCAAGTGACCGGCAGGGATGGGCTCATCTTCAGCCTCTCAATGCTCCTCCTGCAGTATATCATTCCTCTAGCCATCATCAGTTACGCCTACATCTGCATCTGGGTCAAACTGAGAAATCACATCAGCCCATCAAGCCGCAATGACAGCATCAACCGCCGCAAAAAGACCACAAAGATGCTGGCGCTTGTGGTGGTGGTGTTTGCCATCTGCTGGCTGCCCTTCCATGCCTTTCAGCTGGCCATCGACCTGGACCTGGTGCTCAGGCTCGAGGAGTATAAACTAATATACACCGTGTTCCACATTGTGGCTATGTGTTCAACTTTTACCAACCCTCTCCTGTACGGATGGATGAATAAAAACTACAGGAATGGCTTCCTCATGGTGTTCCGGTGCGAAGACAAGCCGGATACTTTCCACCTGGAAGGCTCATTCAGGACTCGCTCCTTGAGGAGGATGACTCTGAACGGCCGTAACGGCGGACACCCTCCCACTGCTGTGTGACTTGATTTGCACGTTTCAAGGCATCTGTAGTATATGAACGTATGCGCGCCCCTCTGCTCCGTTGGCGTTTGTCTTTCAAAAAGTAGCCTTTTTTTTGACTTTGATGGTTTGATCTTGAGTATCTGTGTCACTGGAGAAGACCCAAAGCTTTGCATGCATATTGCTTCATGTGAAGTTTTTTTTCCTTTGCTAACAGCACTAGTAAAAACAACAGTCGTCAAACCTATTAAGAAATGTGTTTAAGGTGTTTACTTAGGTGTTATTTAACTAGGTACAGTGTATAATGTGTTCTCGTGTAAAATGAGGAGCTCTCTTTCGTTTGTCATGTCCAAATTTATGACACAGTCTTAAGGGAAGACTGTTATTACTGTGACAGTGAGAGTTTCATTTTTCACACCTGTTTTGTTTTTTCTACTTGATGTCTGCTCAAAAATTATCTGGATGGTTTTCAGCTAATTAATCCAACTGCTACATTCTGGATTAATTATAAGTGTTCTGGCAGCGTAACATTCAACCCTAGTTCAAGGAATCCAGAGGAGGCGATCGATACATTACTGTCCAAACAGGAAGTTAATTGTCCTCACCTGGCAACCAGCTGTTCCTGATTGGATGAAGCAGCAGGACCCTGTTTCCAGAGGAATGGGACTCTGTGGAGCAAGAGCGAGAGCAGCGTATTATTGATGTCTTTAGCACAAAATGCAGCCAGCTGCTTCGCAGATTTCTTAGAAAAAAGAAACGCTTTTGGAAGAAGTCAGAATGCGTGATTCTACATTTATTGCAGTGCTGATAAAGTGCCCTTTGTTGACTGTTTAATGAACACAGGAACATTAATCAACCGCAGCACCTCTTGGTAGATATAATGAGCCCCTATTACAGATGAAAATCCTGGACCTGATCTGACTATGGGGAGAAACTATGTTTTGTGCATGTCCTTGTCAAATAAAGAGATCCAGGCTTGGATAAATATAAGTAAGTCAAGTAAATGGCTGTCATATTCTTCTGTGACATAGTTTGAAAATGTACTGAACACTGGCAGCATGCAGGGACTCCCCACATGTATGGTAAGCCTGATTGATGAAATATCCATGTGAAAATTAAAAGAGGTGGATAGGAGATCTTTTTTTAGTACAAGTCACACATTTATGAGTCTTTCACATTTTTTTTTGTTTATTTTGAAAAAGAAAAAAAAGTGGGTCAAGTGAATCCAGTGAAGCATTTGTATGTGGCCTACACATTGTGATTCATTATACAGCAGAGAAAATGCCTATTGCTCTCGCATTACTGGCTCCTGACACCCACATTGCTGTTTTATTCCCTTGTTTGACCTATATCCCTTTTTAGTCCTCTAAATTATTATGAGAGCTGTGAGTGCTATCAGTACAACCAGCAGAACAGCACTCAGCTTGTATCCATTGCATCACACACCATTACAGTGGACGTGTGGACACTATTCTTTTTTAAACAGGAACACATTATTTGGGATTCTGGGATGCATATTTGTTCAGGGAGTCCTAAAGATGCCAGTTCCAGTTGTTGAGAGCTGACAGGGTTACATTAAAATTCCCCCTCACACGTCATTATTAAGTTCAGACAGAAAGTTTTGCGACTCTTCTGTAGTGTCTTGCGCGGTCACCTGCTGCCCTCTAGTGTCCCAAGCAGGCGTTGCACACGCCCCACCTACCCGGATATAGCGTCTCGCTTGACCTTCCTTTTTTGCTCCAGTTACGTTTGACATGATTTTCGGACTTTATCCGCGGTGAAATTCTTCCCGATGGGAGCGTAAAATGCAAATTCTCATTTTGTAAATGGTATCGCCGTGCAGGTAATCGCCTTTTCATCTGAGCTGACCCTAAAAAATGTGCTTATTGAATGTCGGTAGTAGAATTTTCTGGGGTACGCTGTGCCATTCATTCATGTGGCTTGCCTCATGCTAGGCTATGCTAAAGGGGAAGCTAAAGAGTGCGGACGTCATAAAACAGGATAGCAGTGTTTTGTCTCACGTTAGGCCTCTCATTGTTGAAATATGTCACAGTCTGCGGTCTAAATGAGGCTTACATTGTTTGTTGTCAGTCACGAGACGAGACACGGTTGGACACAGCTGGAGCTGTGAGGTAAAAAGGTGTTAAAGGTAAAGCTCTAGTGTTTACCTTCAGGTGTTTATTAAACTTGACACCTGTGGTTGTAGCGTTTAGCTGAAAACACCAATGGCTTGGATTTATTTTGGAACATGTATATATAAGGGTTGTCATCGCTGAGTTGTTTTATCACATTGACACCGCTATTTACAGCTTCGTCCTGATGTGGCATCTGAAAATTGTCTGAACACATCTAACGCTAACTATCACGCTGTTTGTTCTGTGTGTTTGCAGGGTAAACCAAGGGAACAATGGTGAAATATTTCTGCTGTGCAGGTCTGCTAAAAAACACCTGGGACCAAGTCTGTGTTGCTTTCTGGCAACGATATCCCAACCCTTACAGGTGAAGTGAGGGGTTTATGTGTGGATACGCATTCGTATCAAACATCTTTCTTATAACCTGTTCTATTTTTTTTAATGGACTGGAAACTGCACCCAATAAGGCAACAAAAAGTCACCTTGCAATGTGAAGAGCCTACAATTTTAGAGTCAACGTCCCAAACCCAGCTGATTGCCTCTTTCTGTAAGCACTAGATGACTGTGGGGTGGAAGAACTCCATTTTAACAGGAAGAGACTAACAGGTCCAGACTCCTCTGCCATGCTAGTTGGGGGAAGGGAGAGAAAAGGGAAAAAAGGAGACAAAGACACAGGGATGGAATACAGTCTGCATTATCATAGTTTTCCTAATCTTTACGCTTAAACGCCAAGTGTTTTGAGACTACGACATCATCAGTGTGATTTTTTTTTTTTTTTTTTTTTTTTTTTAAAACTTCCCCTTCATATGTTTTTGTTTAAGATAAACAAACCGATATAGAGATATAGAAAAAAATGATCAAATTAAAAACACATTTTATGCATCCAAATGTTCAGTAAACACTCCAGTTTAAACATTTTTTAGCATAAATATGAGACGGTGTCATGTTGTGATGATTAATGAATTTTGTTTCACTTTAGTTTCTTATGAGACAACTTTTGAGACATTATGTTTTACAAACACAATGCTCAGAGAAGTCATGTGACTTACAGTCAGGTATATCTCCCAGACTCAATAAGCGTATTCACCAACACTTCCTCGTGCTTGTTCTGCTGATTCATAGGACCGTTTGTGTATTCCCACAGCATTTTTTCCACTTGGTTCATTTTTGTTTTTATCTAAAGTCTATTTATTTTTATTATTAAGAACATTTTTGTTGTTGTTACTTCAGTGAACAATATTTTTTTTTTCTGCATCTCTTTTTAGTTTTAGATTACAAGAACAACATGATTAGATTACATCTTAGCATTCACCTACTGAGATGGTTTAAGTGGAAGATCCTGGAAAGTCATTTTCGGGACACGCAAAGTTTTGACTTTATTTTGCCAATTTTCTGCTGAAGATTGTTCACATAAAAAATAAATGGAGATAAAAAAAAAAATAATAATACTTTAGGGGTTCAAGCAGTTTCTAAATAGCTCAGTTTCTTCACCATTTTTTCATTTTTCTCAACCGAACTACCATTCGGGTAATAAAGAATGGGGGAAAAAATCACCGTAATCAAGTCACAATGAGTGTGAAAGCAAATGTTAGTTGTGCTTTTAATTGGATCATCAGTTTGTCCATTTAATTAAAGCTTAATAGTTCTTGTCAAGCTAAAAATACAGTGTCTAGTTTAGTATTTCTGTGTTTGTCACCGTTTCATAGAATGTTTAAATGTAATAGATTTAGATTTTGAACTGTTGTGTGGATTAAAAACTGTAAATTCTTATTCAACTGAAGCAAAAATAGAGATTTTTCAGGATCATAAACCTAAATAATCCTTGCGTAGAGGTTTCACGTCATCTTAATCCATCCGTCCTCCTTCTTCTTCTTTCACAGTAACCATGTCTTGACTGAAGATATCATTTTCCGAGAGGTTACCCCAACCAACTGCCTCATTTCCAGGCGTCTTTTGACCAAAACTAGCCGTGCCCCTCGCTGGATGGAGCGCTACCTTCCAAAGCACATGGCCAGCTCGGCGTACATCATCGAGGACTCCATCGTGGACCCTCAGAAAAGGACCATGACCACGCTCACGTGGAATATCAGCCACGCTCGCCTAATGGTACATTGGCGTTTGTGTGCCTTAAGCAGCATTCATCAGCAGTGCACAACGTGGACTGCTGGACCACAACGTGGTACCTTTGGCTCATTTTGCTTTTGTTTTTTCTCGCTGACAGTCTGTAGAAGAGCGGTGTCACTACAGAATTAACCCTGAGAATGGCAGCTGGACCGAGATTAAGAGAGAAGCTTGGGTCTCCTCCAATGTCTACGGGCTCTCTAGAGCTATTCAGGTCAGTGGAGTAAAGCAGAGTGCTGCGCTACATAACAACTGAGGGAAAGTAGTCGGGGGTGACCGAGAGTAACACTCGCCCACCTTGCATTTGTTCTGGATTTAGAAACATAATACAGTGTTAAGATGCAACAGCTGAGCAGCTGAAGCTGTCGGCCAGGACCTGAAGTAGTAAATGACTTATGACAGAGAATTACAGTAGTTGTTGACAGCCCATATGTGAGGATGTGAGTCATGTGTTGTTATGCCTCATGCCTATATCTTTTATAACTTTGTTTTTCACCTTCCAGGAATTTGGGCTCGCAAGATTCAAGACCGGTGTGACAAAAACCATGAAAGGCTTCGAGTATGTGCTTGCCAAAATGCAAGGTAAATTATCCTTAGTTCTTATTCCCATTTTATTCCTATTTAAGTTTGTGGCTGATGTTAATATGGGTTTTCCAAATGGGTTCAAACTGCTCAAAATAATTAAGGGAACACTTGGATCGCCTCAGTGTAACACACGAGGATTGAAGCCCAACGTCCTTTAGCAGGATTTGTGCTCACACACCAATACTGTGCTGCTGGAGTGGCATTTCCTGGAGAACACTAGAATTGTGAGCGGCAGGCGACATAGTGCTTCCCAGCATCTCCAGACACCTTTATGCTTGTCACATGGGCTCCGTGTCAGTTTGCATCCTTTGAAGAGAATTGGCACTATCGGAGGCTGTATAGCATTGTTCTGCTGGCACAGGTCCCACTTAAAGACACTGGGACTTTATGCCATTTTCATGGAGTCTGTTTCTGATGGAAGCATCGAGGTTAACATGTGTAGCCCTCTGGAGTTCATTCTTTAGGGCTCTGGCAGCCTTCCGCATGTTCTTCTTCAAACAGAGAGTCACATAGTGGTGCTGCTACTGGGGTGGATGCCCCTGGGAGACACCGCAACCCTTCTTGCAATGGCATGTATGGATGTGTCATCCTGGAGGAACTGAACTACCTGTATATGCTGAATGGATTGCAGCTATTGTATCAGTACTGACTAGTGACACAAAGAAAACGTAGTTAGAGAAAAATCAGCTGGGGAAAAGGTGAGAACAATGGTCTGTGGTCATCGCCTTGCAGAAGTATTCTCTTTTTGATGGTTGCCTTCTCTTTGCCTCCCACTTTACCTGTTGTCGCTTTTATTTATCCCAAAGCAGGTTAAATGGAGTCAGTGGTTGATGCTTCCTAATAAGACAGATGAATATCGCTTAAGTTTAACAGACTCTGTGTTAAACTGTGGTGATCAAGTGTCTCCCTTTTTATTTATTCATTTTTTTCTGAGCAGCATAATATAATAACATCAGTAATTTGTGCATGGAACTGCATATTCTTCTAAAATAAGGTGACTGTTGCTTTTTCATGAATCTGGAAAACTGATTATAGTAATAATTGGAAGTGTTAGCTGCTTGGGCACGAAAACCTGGATGAATCCAATGAAGAGCTGCATTTTGTCCCCGTGTAGGTGAAACTCC